CCCAGTTCTCTTTCCTCTCTTCCTTGCCTTAGCGTGGATCTCAAGCCTCCTTCTCTTTCTAGTCTTAGTACAAGTCTTATTGCCTTTCTTTCTTTCTTCCATATGGATCTCAAATCCCTTTCCTCTCTTCCTTGCCTTAGCGTGGGTCTCAAGTCCCCTCCTCTTTCTAGCCTTAGTGCAAGTCTTACCGCCTTTCTTTCTTTCTTCCATATCGATCCCAGTTCTCTTTCCTCTCTTCCTTGCCTTAGCATGGATCTCAAGCCTCCTTCTCTTTCTAGTCTTAGTACAAGTCTTATTACCTTTCTTTCTTTCTTCCATATGGATCTCAAATCCCTTTCCTCTCTTCCTTGCCTTAGCGTGGGTCTCAAGCCCCCTCCTCTTTCTAGCCTTAGTGCAAGTCTTACCGCCTTTCTTTCTTTCTTCCATATGGATCCCAGTTCTCTTTCCTCTCTTCCTTGCCTTAGCATGGATCTCAAGCCTCCTTCTCTTTCTAGCCTTAGTACAAGTCTTATTGCCTTCCTTTCTTTCTTCCATATGGATCTCAAATCCCTTTCCTCTCTTCCTTGCCTTAGCGTGGGTCTCAAGTCCCCTCCTCTTTCTAGCCTTAGTGCAAGTCTTACCGCCTTTCTTTCTTTCTTCCATATCGATCCCAGTTCTCTTTCCTCTCTTCCTTGCCTTAGCGTGGATCTCAAGCCTCCTTCTCTTTCTAGTCTTAGTACAAGTCTTATTGCCTTTCTTTCTTTCTTCCATATGGATCTCAAATCCCTTTCCTCTCTTCCTTGCCTTAGCGTGGGTCTCAAGTCCCCTCCTCTTTCTAGCCTTAGTGCAAGTCTTACCGCCTTTCTTTCTTTCTTCCATATCGATCCCAGTTCTCTTTCCTCTCTTCCTTGCCTTAGCGTGGATCTCAAGCCTCCTTCTCTTTCTAGTCTTAGTACAAGTCTTATTGTCTTTCTTTCTTTCTTCCATATGGATCTCAAATCCCTTTCCTCTCTTCCTTGCTTTAGCGTGGGTCTCAAGCCCCCTCCTCTTTCTAGCCTTAGTGCAAGTCTTACCGCCTTTCTTTCTTTCTTCCATATGGATCCCAGTTCTCTTTCCTCTCTTCCTTGCCTTAGCGTGGATCTCAAGCCTCCTTCTCTTTCTAGTCTTAGTACAAGTCTTATTGCCTTTCTTTCTTTCTTCCATATGGATCTCAAATCCCTTTCCTCTCTTCCTTGCCTTAGCGTGGATCTCAAGCCTCATTCTCTTTCTAGCCTTAGTACAAGTCTTATTGTCTTTCTTTCTTTCTTCCATATGGATCTCAAATCCCTTTCCTCTCTTCCTTGCCTTAGCGTGGGTCTCAAGCCCCCTCCTCTTTCTAGCCTTAGTGCAAGTCTTACCGCCTTTCTTTCTTTCTTATGGATCCCAGTTCTCTTTCCTCTCTTCCTTGCCTTAGTGTGGATCTCAAGCCTCCTTCTCTTTCTAGCCTTAGTACAAGTCTTATTGCCTTTCTTTCTTTCTTCCATATGGATCTCAAATCCCTTTCCTCTCTTCCTTGCCTTAGCGTGGGTCTCAAGTCCCCTCCTCTTTCTAGCCTTAGTGCAAGTCTTACCGCCTTTCTTTCTTTCTTCCATATCGATCCCAGTTC